AACCTGAGGAAAGAGGACCAGCTGAGGAATTGGCAAGGTGAAATAGCTGTGGCTTGTTCTGTCTCTCTGATCTTCCAGTGTTCACCCCAATACCTGGCTCAGGTTTGGTTTTATTAATAAGAACTTTTAAGATTCCTTCTACAGAGTCTTGCCATTTAGTGCTATCTTTGGACATCCTGTCTTTATCCTTGTTTCAGCTGACACTCTCCTGATGTCTCTCAAATCTGTCATCTCTCTACTGCTGCCATCTTAGTCCCTATTGTCCTCAGATGGGTTCCTGCAGGGATCCCAACTGGCCTATTCATGTCTGTCCTGGCCACTTTCCATTCCGTTCTCGCCTCAGTTTTAGTGATTGTTTCAGAATGCACATGTGCCGTTTCTTAAACCTCTACTATAGATATACTCATTTCTCTTATTACACAGACAAAAGCACCAAGGGATTACTCCTTCTTCTTCAACTTCATTCATTCTTTAGTCTTTGATCTTCCTGCTCTCCTTCCTGACAGTTTTCAAATGGTCTGTTATCTGAACACCCCCTCCTCCTGTTCGAGAACTCTGACTCTCACTTCACTCACGTCTGTCAGTATCAGTGTTTTCCTGCTGAGACTCTTCCCTGTGTTGTAGCCACATATAAAGGACTCTGTCCCATCATAACGCATGGAATCATTTGCCTCCAGTGTGTTAACAACCTCTTACATTCCGAAAGTTCCACACAAGGTGCGTAAAAGCCAACTTTTGCCTGCTTTCATGTCCTCAGTTTAGAACAGCACGTGGTGTGGGCCGGAGACATATTTAGTGGATAAAATACATGTCTGCTAGCCCGACAACCTGAATTTGATCCCTGGGATCCACAAGGTGGAAGGAGAAAACCAACTCCCAGAAGCTGTCCTCTGACCTTCACACACATGCCGTGGTACATGTATACACACATATACAAGTAAGTGTCTAAATAAGTGTAATGTGAGAAGAGACCTATTCTAAAGAGAGGGAAGCCAGGGAATGGAAAAAAAAAAAATACCATCGGTTTCAAAGAGGAAGTCTGTGGCTTGGAGCTCAAACCTATCTTTGCGACACAGCTGATGGGGACAGTGGGTACTCTCTGTGTCACCACTTCTGAAAAGGAAGACAAGAGAAACAAAAGTTCAGTCCTCAGCAGCCGCATCTTATGACTGGAGCTTTCCCAGAAAGGTAAAATAAAAAGCCTTCTAATCTACACTAAGTAATGGCTCATCAAAGGACATTTTTAATCTTTATTTGGTGGTTTCTGGTGTGTTTTTCTTATTTGGCAGGGGAAGGATGGCATTTGAATGACTGTGGCACAGGTCTCACAGCTCAATCTCTCGTGCCAGCTTCTGCCACACATGTGGCTTATTCTTGATTTTGAAAATAAAAAATTTGTGGTGTGTGTGTGTGTGTGT